CACCAAATAATCTGGAATCTGCAGTGTACAGGGTGAACCAAAACAAATACACCAGATAATCTGGAATCTGCAGTGTACAGGGTGAACCAAAACAAATACACCAGATAATCTGGAATCTGTAGTGTACAGGGTGAACCAAAACAAATACACCAGATAATCTGGAATCTGTAGTGTACAGGGTGAACAAAAACAAATACACCAAATAATCTGGAATCTGCAGTGTACAGGGTGAACCAAAACAAATACACCAGATAATCTGGAATCTGTAGTGTACAGGGTGAACCAAAACAAATACACCAGATAATCTGGAATCTGTAGTGTACAGGGTGAACAAAAACAAATACACCAAATAATCTGGAATCTGCAGTGTACAGGGTGAACCAAAACAAATACACCAGATAATCTGGAATCTGTAGTGTACAGGGTGAACCAAAACAAATACACCAGATAATCTGGAATCTGTAGTGTACAGGGTGAACAAAAACAAATACACCAAATAATCTGGAATCTAAAGTGTACAGGGTGAACCAAAACAAATACACCAGATAATCTGGAATCTGTAGAGTACAGGGTGAACCAAAACAAATACATTATGGAGTGTATAGAGTGAACCAAAATATAATCAAACACCAGATATATGTATTCTGCAGTGTATAGAGTGAACCAAAATATAATCAGGTACCAGATATATGTATTCTGGAGTGTTTAGAGTAAACCACAATATAATCAAACACCAGATATATGTATTCTGCAGTGTATAGAGTGAACCAGAATATAATCAGGCACCGGATATATGTATTCTGCAGTGTATAGAGTGAACCAAAATATAATCAAGCACCAGATATATGTATTCTGCAGTGTATAGAGTGAACCAAAATATAATCAGGTACTAGATATATGTATTCTGCAGTGTATAGAGTGAACCAAAATATAATCAGGCACCAGAGATATGTATTCTGCAGTAAATAGAGTGAACCAGAATATAATCAGGCACCAGATATATGTATTCTGCAGTGTATAGAGTGAACCAAAATATAATCAGGTACAGATATATGTATTCTGCAGTGTATAGAGTGAACCAAAATATAATCAGGTACCAGATATATGTATTCTGCAGTGTATAGAGTGAACCAAAATATAATCAGGTAACAGATATATGTATTCTGCAGTGTATAGAGTGAACCAATTTTTGCCCCATTTTTCTAAAATCCAGTGCAGAAATATTCTGAACCTCCTCTGATGTATAGTGGAGAGTGTAGACTACTCATTATCTGGTGTTGTATCTAGTGTTTAATACTAGACCTGGAGAGAGGTTAGACAATAACCCGGAGAGAAAAACCTAATCTTGAGTATCGGATTCTTGGAGTATTTATCCGGATACTAGAAGTTTGTTTTCGGAACCTTGGAGTATATACCCGGATACTAGGAGTTTGTTTTTGGACCCTTGGAGTATATATCCGGATACTAGGAGTTTGTTTTCGGTCCCTTGGAGTATATATCCAGATTCTAGGAGTATATATCCGGATCCTGGGAGTTTATATCCGGATCCTAGAAGTATATATCCGGATCCTAGGAGTTTATATCCGGATCCTAGGAGATTATATTCGGATCTTAGGAGTTTATATCCGGATCCTAGTAGTATAAATCCGGATACTTGGAGTACATATCCGAATCCCAGAAGTTTATATCCAGATCCTAGGAGTATATATCCGGGTCCTATGAGTATATATCCGGATCCTAAGAGTTTATTTCCGGATCCTAGGAGTTTTTATTCGGATCCTTGGAGGTTATATCCTGATCCTAGGAGTATATATCCGGATCCAATGAGATTATATTCGAATCTTAGGAGTAAATATCCGGATCCTATGAGAATATATCCGGATCCGAGGAGTATATCCGGATTATAGGAGAATAAACCCGGATCATAGAAGTATATATCTGGAGAAATAGGAGTAAATATTCAAATCCCAGGAGAAATTTGAAGATCCTAGGAGTAACTATGTTCGTATTTAGGATTATCTATACCTAGATCCTAATTAAGGAGTATCTATATCCGGATTTAGAAGTATCTTTATCCGGATTTAGGAGTATCTATATCCGGATTTAGGAGTATTTGTATCCGAATCCAAATCGTATCTTTATCCGGATCTAAGGAGTATCTATATCCGGATCCAAGGAGTATCTATATACGGATCTGAAGAGAATTTATCCAGATCCTAGGCATATAAATCCGGATCGTAGCAGTATATATTCGGATCCTAGAGGTTTTATCCGGAACCGTATATAAGGATGTAATTATTTATCTAATTGATACTTTTCACCTTTGATACATTTTATCCCTGATACATTTTATCTTTAATACATTTTATAATTGATACATTTTACCTGTAATACATTTCACCTTTAATACATTTTAACCCTGATACATTTTATCCCTTATACATTTTATCATTGATACATTTTACCTCCTGATACATTTTATCTCTGATACATTTTATCTCTGATACATTTTATCTCTGATACATTTTATCTCTGATACATTTTATCGCTGCCAAATTTATCTTTTTTTTACATTTTTTTTTTTTCAAATTGTATCTGTGAAACACATTATCTCTTAGAACATTTTATTTTTGAAACAATAAAGTCGTGCCAAAAGTTTTCATTTTAAATTTCTTATTTTTATTCCTGTATATTTCTCTGTATTGTGAATATAGGGTTGAATAAAAAACACCTGGACTCCAGTCTAGGCTATTTATAATCCACATTCAGGCTTACATACTTAATATCAATATTCTAGGGACATTTTATAATATCTTTGAACATTTATGGACTTTTGGGAATTTTTAAGTACATTTTTGGTCGGTTTTCAAAACCCGACCAATCAGATTTCATCAAAAAAATATTTTCTATCGAAATAAAACAAAAACATTTAAAAAGAAATATCCCTCTTATTTCAATGGCTATAGCATTATTGTAAGAAGAAGTAAATAAATGATTGAATAAGTGTGTATCTATATATATAATATAGTGCATAGATATATGTATATATAGTTTCCACTCAACGAATCCTATTTACTTACAATCAATCAGTTATACCAAACTAACCCCATCCTTCCACCCCCCTAACAACCCATCACACTTTACCCCCCACCCCCCGATACAGATTGAAATACCCCACTAACAATAATAGAAGTATGTTGAAAATGTCACAAATATAATTCTTGTTTATTTTCTTTATTGAGCCATGCATGTTCTCCCTGTTCTCTTCTTCTCTCTTATATATCTTTAACTGCGGCATGGGGGGGGGGGGGATCATATATGGGATAAATATAATGAATCTATGAATTTGAAATAAGTAATATTTGACGCAACACAAAATTTATGAAAAGCTCAAATACTCAATTTCTTTTTATTATTTCCAATTATTCTCTAAACGCATTATAATATAAATACACATTGTACAATTGGACATATCTTTTTCAAAAATATGGACACTGATGTAGAAATCCACAAATGACTTGCAAAAAAATGTGATGTCCCGGACTTTTTTTATAAAAAAACGTTTCTCAGATAACTACAAAGTCTTTAAGTTCGTGGAGTTCGTTTGTGAAAATCTTAAAATGAGTGCGAATAAATCATGAATTTGTTGCAAAATGAAATCTAAACTTTTTTCACTTTTCTTAACAATTCTTTAGGTTGAAAATATTTTGTTAAAATTCTGTTTTCAAAACTGTAATATTATCTTCATTTCCAACCCAATAAAATAGATTAGTTTTAGATAGTGTATCCTACCCAAGACAAACCAATAATTTAATTAAAATTTATTCAATATCCCATCAACATTTTCTTAAATTCGATATTTAGAAGCATTTTCTTGTAAAAACCCGGTAGTGTTTATATTCTTTGTAAATTTAAATTTGTAGAGACAAAATTTAATGAATGAAGAAGTAGTTGATCCACTTAGCTGTAGTTAAACCAGTTCTCTTGTGATCTGGTTCAAGTTAAAATGAAGTGATTGAACTACGTCTACGCGGTTCAACTACTACTCACTATTCATTAAACTTCGTCTCAGTGAGTCAGTATTCATATAGATGAAAGTATAAGTTCACTTAACACAGTACATGTATCATAGATTCTAGTACAAAATACACAGTTCACAGTACCAGGGTACACAGAACAAGGTACTTAGTGCACTACATATTTTAAAATATACTAAACAGTTCACAGCATACTTCACAATTCGAAGTGCACTACAAAGTACACAGTTTACAGTACATCACATAGTTCACAGTACATCACATAGTTCACAGTACATCACATAGTTCACAGTACATCACATAGTTCACAGTACATCACATAGTTCACAGTAAATTACATAGTTCACAGTACATAACATAGTTCACAGTATATCACATAGTTCACAGTACATTACACTGATCACAATACACTATACAGATCACAGTACCAGGGTACACAGGACAAGGTACTTAGTGCACTGCATATTTTACAATATACTAAGTAGTTCACAGCATACTTCACAGTTCGAAGTTCACTACACAGTACACAGGTTACAGTACATTACATAGTTCACAGTACGCTACACTGATCACAGTACACTATACAGATCACAAAACAGTTCACAGTATATTACAAAGTATACAGTATATTAAACAGTTTACAGAACACAATACAGTTTACATTACATTACACAGTACACTACACAGTTCACAGTACACTGCACAGTATACACTACACTGCAAGGTTCACAGACTCACAGTACACTACACTGCAATGTTCACAGTACCTACACAGTTCACAATATACTACATAGTTTTCAGTACACAACATTTTTCCGGACGTAGACATAATTTACAGTACACAGGTACATGAAAAAATACACAATTTTAATAAATAATATATAAATATATTTATATAACTATGACACAGAAAACCGAAGTTAGGTACATAACAGTGAAAAGTTTACAGTACACCCTGAAAACGAACCCCCTGGCCTTTGCTTATCGCCGGTGTAAAGTGTATTTATCTAAGTAGGTGTTCTTTCCATAATTGTGGTTTGGAAATGTAGTTTGTTACAGTCAGTGTAATCACATGTATGATAAAGAAGGAAAACACTATGATGTGCAGGACATAATTTCATAACTTTGCACTCAAGTAAAAAAGAGATTTTTTTAGAACAACAGTTAAAGTTCATTCTTAGTGTAAAAATTTGAAATGAGAAAATGAATTTCAAGTTTCATATTATTTTTATTCTAGGTAAGGAGACATTATGTCCACATTTATTTTGGTTAAAGTTGACATTTATTTATTCTGTTAAATATGCGTAGACTTATATTTATTCAAGTTTAAGTTGGCACACACTGAGTAGACTTACAGTCATTTATTTTCTTAGATAGGTAGACATTTATCCAGGTAGACATTCAATTTATTCTGTTGGATAGGTAAACATTTAATTTTATTCATTTGATTTAGGTAGACATACACTCATTTATTTTCATAGATAGACATTTATCAATTAATTTTGTTACAAGTTAACTGATTTAGGTTAAAGAAGACTTACATTCATTGATTAACTTATATAGAAAGACATTTTAACCCTTTTTTTTGGTTAAATGGGTTAGGCAAAACTTTTTGAGAAAGAAAAATTAGGAACGTAATATAAACTTTGAATTTGGAATGGAATGAAAAAAATAATCTATTTTTTATTCAGGGTTTAGTTCCCTTGGGGTATATGAGAGCAAGGCTAGTGATTATGGAATCTTGAACATGAAACCAGTGTCAGAGAAGGTCAATAATCTGAATCTAGCACTAGATCAGCAACCAGTACAAGATCAGCGACCAGCACTAGATCAGCAACTAGTTCTGGATCAGCAACTAATACTGGATCAGCAACCAGCACTAGATCAGCAACCAGTACTAGATCAGCAACCAGTACTAGATCAGGAACAAGTACCATATCAGCAACTAATACTGGATCAGCAACCAGCACTAGATCAGCAACCAGTACTAGATCAGAAACCAGTACTGGAGCAAAAAACAGCCATAGATCAGCAACCAGCACTATATAAGCAACCAGTACTGGATCAGCAACCAGCACTGGATCAGCAACCAACACTGGGTCAGCAACCAGTACTGGATCAGCAACCACCACTAGATCAGCAACCAGTACTGGATCAGCAACCGCCACTAGTTCAGCTGCCAGCACTAGATCTGCAACCAGAGCAGTTTATTAACCTAGTATCAATATCAGAGCAAAGTATTAAAATGCAGCCAGCTATACTCCAGGCTGATCTTACCTTACAAGAGTATTTAACTCTAGAATTAAATGAAATCAGTTCTAATGTTTATCTGAAAATGAGTTTAGCTGAATCCCGTAAATATGAACCAAGTTTTTTTTTGGATTTTACAAATTCTGAAAATTCTACAGGCAAATCTTATTCTCTAACAGATTATTTTATTGATACTCCTGGTGATTCTACACTAGTTGGTTTAGAAGATGGGGTTTATGATGCTTCTGGTGGTTCTGCACTAGTTGGTTTAGAAGATGGGGTTTATGATGCTCCTGGTGGTTCTCCACTAGTTGGTTTAGAAGATGGGGTTTATGATGCTCCTTGTGGTTCTCCACTAGTTGGTTTAGAAGATGGGGTTTATGATGCTCCTCGTGGTTCTGCACTAGTTGGTTTAGAAGATGGGGTTTATGATGCTCCTCGTGGTTCTGCACTAGTTGGTTTAGAAGATGGGGGTTATGATGCTCCTGGTGGTTCTCCACTAGTTGGTTTAGAAGATGGGGTTTATGATGCTCCTGGTGGTTCTCCACTAGGTGGTTTGGAAGATGAATTTAATGATGCTCCTGGTGGTTCTCCACTAGGTGGTTTAAAAGATGGGTTTTATTATGCTCCTCGTGGTTCTGCACTAGATGGTTTAGGAGATGGATTTAATGGTGCTCCTGGTGGTTCTGCACTAGATGGTTTAGAAGATGGGTTTAGTGGTGCTCCTGGTGGTGGACCACTAGATAGTTTGAAAGATGGTTTTTTTGATCCAATAACAAAAGAAGAACAAGATACAACAACAGAAGTAGACACAGCAGCAACAACAACAACAAACGCAACAATAAATACAACAACAGCAACAACAGAAGAAGACACAGCAGCAACAACAATAACATCGACAACAGAAAAAGAAACAACAACAACAACTTCATCAACAACATCAACAACAACTTTGTCAACAACATCAACAACAGAAGAAGAAACAACAACAGAAGAAATGGAAACATCAACACAACCAACAACAACAGCAAACGCAGCAACAACTACAACAACAACAACAATAACAACAACAACAACAACAACAACATCAACAACAGAAGAAGAAACAACAACAACAGAAGAAATGGAAACATCAACACAACCAACAACAACAGCTAACGAAACAACAACAAACAACAACAACACCAACAACACCAACAATAACAACAACAACAACAACAACAACAACAACAACAACAACAACAACAACAACAACAACAACAACAACAACAACAACAACAACAACCATATATTCTACTACAGATACAATAACTGGTGTTTATATTTTCACTTTTGTAACCCTCGGTTTATCTGTTGGCCTGTATGTTGTATCATCTGTCTACATTTCTTACCAAATAAGGTGAAACTTTGAGTATTCCAATAAAATACACCAATTAATATTTAAAATTAGAAAAAACTTGTTTGATTTTAAAATCACTAATTGTACGGTCGTCTTCCAATTCCACAGATTACGGGTCCCACCTTACCAGGACGGATCCTAAGTATGTAAATGTATTAAACTAGTTTTTATGTTTACCAGGACGGATCTTAAGTATATAAATGTATTAAACTAGTGTATATGTTTACCAGGGCGGATCCTAAGTGTATAAATGTATTAAACTAGTTTATATGTTTACCAGGACGGATCTTAAGTATATAAATGTATTAAACTAGTGTATATGTTTACCAGGGCGGATACTAAGTGTATAAATGTATTAAACTAGTTTATATGTTTACCAGGGCGGATCCTAAGTATTCAAATGAATTAAACTAGTGTATATGTTTACCAGGTCGGATTCTAAGTGTATAAATGTATTAAACTAGTTTATATGTTTACCAGGGCGGATCCTAAGTGTATAAATGTATTAAACTAGTTTATATGTTTACCAGGGCGGATCCTAAGTGTATAAATGTATTAAACTAGTTTATATGTTTACCAGGGCGGATCCTAAGTGTATAAATGTATTAAACTAGTTTATATGTTTACCAGGGCGGATCCTAAGTATTCAAATGTATTAAACTAGTGTATATGTTTACCAGAGCGGATCCTAAGTATATGAATGTATTAAACTAGTTTATATGTTTACCAAGACGGATCTTAAGTATATAAATGTATTAAACTAGTGTATATGTTTACCAGGGCGGATCCTAAGTATTCAAATGTATTAAACTAGTTTATATGTTTACCAAGGCCGATCCTAAGTATATAAATGTATTAAACTAGTTTATATGTTTACCAGGTCGGAACCTAAGTGTATAAATGTATTAAACTAGTTTATATGTTTACCAGGGCGGATCCTAAGTATTCAAATGTATTAAACTAGTTTAAATGTTTACCAGGGCGGATCCTAAGTATTCAAATGTATTAAACTAGTTTATATGTTTACCAAGGCCGATCCTAAGTATATAAATGTATTAAACTAGTTTATATGTTTACCAGGTCGGAACCTAAGTGTATAAATTTATTAAACTAGTTTAAATGTTTACCAGGGCGGATCCTAAGTATATAAATGTATTAAACTAGTTTATATGTTTACCAGGTCGGATCCTAAGTGTATAAACCTATTAAACTAGTTTATATGTTTACCAGGGCGGATCCTAAGTATATAAATATATTAAACTAGTTTATATGTTTACCAGGGCGGATCCTAAGTATATAAATGTATTAAACTAGTTTATATGTTTACCAGGTCGGATCCTTAGTGTATAAATGTATTAAACTAGTGTATATGTTTACCAGGGCGGATCCTAAGTATGTAAATGTATTAAACTAGTTTAAATGTTTACCAGGGCGGATACTAAGTGTATAAATGTATTAAACTAGTGTATATGTTTACCAAGGCCGATCCTAAGTGTATAAATGTATTAAACTAGTTTATATGTTTACCAGGGCGGATCCTAAGTGTATAAATGTATTAAACTAGTTTATATGTTTACCAGGGCGGATCCTAAGTATTCAAATGTATTGAACTAGTGTATATGTTTACCAGGGCGGATCCTAAGTATATGAATGTATTAAACTAGTTTACATGTCTACCATGGCGGATCCTAAGTTTATAAATGTATTAAACTAGTTTATATGTTTACCAGGGCGGATCCTAAGTATATAAATGTATTACTGCTGCTACTAGTGCTAGGTCTACTCTTCTCTAATATCTTCTACCTGGTTCTTAAAACTATTCGACTCGAGGAGAATTATGATGGAGGATATGGACACAGAGAGGTATCAAAATATCTTAAAGGGTTTGTAATTTCAAGGGGCCCTTTATTAAAAAAGAGGAGGCATGTTTAGTTCAGAACCACTGTAAACTGAGGTTCATTTCAGGTACCGGCCTGTCTTTTCATTAGCTAGAGCAAGCTGTACAGTACAAATACAGACTATATAAGACAAAACGGGACGCTAAATGAATCATCCATATCTAGTGAAATTTATGTGCAACTGGGCAATTAAAAAAATGACATTCATCCTTGACTTCACAAATATTTGAAGATTACTGTTGTTAATCGGATATGACATTTATTATGGTTGGTTAGTTGAAATTTCGTCTCCAAGGAATATATATTTTTGGTTTTAAAACTTTCTATATTTTTAAAAATATACGACAGGGCTAAGGAAAAGACATTACTATAGTCGACTGTAGAGCCATGTTAAGGCAGGGGATACCAAATTGAACGCTCAAATCATCATGCTAAAAGACTTTTTTGCGTTTTTGAGGGTAACACTGTAAAAATACATATTTAAATGTCAAAAAAACATTTAAAATAAAGTACAATAAAAACACAATTACTTTTCCTGCTTGTAGAATGCCTACCGAGGGTGTGGTCCAATGCTGCACCTCGCCTGGATGTCCGTCCTCCTGTCCACCATGTTCCTGCTCCTCACAACCTTCCTGGAGAGATTCGCAGTCATCTTCAGGTAGAAGTAGTATTATTATCATTACTACTATTATAATATATACAATACCCTGACTAGTGGTATTATTATTATCACTACTATTATAATATTAGAAGGAGTACCCTGACTAGTGGTATTATTATTATTATCATCACTACTATCGTAATATTTGTAGGAGTACCCTGACTAGTGGTATTATATTATCATCACTACTATTATAATATAAGTAGGAGTACCCTGACTAGTGGTATTATTATTATCACCACTATTATAATATTAGTAGGAGTACCCTGACTAGTGGTATTATTATTATTATCACTACTATTATAATATTAGTAGGAGTATCCTGACAAGTATTATTATCACAACTACAATTATAATATTAATAGGAGCACCCTGACTAGTGGTATTATTATTATTATCACTACTATAATAATATTAGTAGGAGTACCCTGACTAGTGTTATTATTATTATTATCACCACTATTATAATATTTTGTAGGAGTACCCTGACTAGTGATATTATTATTATCACTACAAATATAATATAAGTGGGAGTACCCTGACTAGTGGTATTATTATTATTATCCCCACTATTATAATATTAGTAGGAGTACCATGAATAGTGTTATTATTATCATCACTACTATTATAATATTAGTAGGAGTACCCTGACTAGTGTTATTATTATCATTATCATCACTACTATTATAATATTAGTAGGAGTACCCTAACTAGTGGTATTATTATCACTACAATTATAATATTAGTAGGAGCACCCTGACTAGTGGTATTATTATTATTATCACTACTATTATAATATTAGTAGGAGTACCCTGACTAGTGGTATTATTATTATCACTACTATTATAATATTAGTAGGAGTACTGACTAGTGGTATTATTATTATTATCACTACTATTATAATATTAGTAGGAGTACCCTGACTAATGGTATTATTATTATTATCACCACTAATATAATTTTAGTAGGAGCACCCTGACTAGTGGTATTATTATTATTATTATCACTTCAGTTATAATATTAGTAGGAGTACCCTGACTAGTGGTATTATTATCACCACTAATATAATTTTAGTAGGAGTACCCTGACAAGTGGTATTATTATTATTATCACTTCAGTTTTAATATTAGTAGGAGTACCCTGACTAATGGTATTATTATTATTATCACCACTAATATAATTTTAGTAGGAGTACCCTGACAAGTGGTATTATTATTATTATCACTTCAGTTATAATATTAGTAGGAGTACCCTGACAAGTGGTATTATTATTATTATTATCACTGCAGTTATAATATTAGTAGGAGTACCCTGACTAGTGGAATAGTTGTTATTATCATTACAACTATAATTCCAACTATTATTGTTGTTCTTCTTGTCTGCTGGGTAGATGAAGGATCTAGAGCATATATAGGAATACTTACACCTCATAACAGGTTTATTTTTCAAAATTATTTTAATTTTTAATTTTAATTGCTTCTCATAGAATGTTAAAATATCCTTTTTGTCAATATTCCGAATGGATAATCTGATTTTAACGATATTTTCTTTAAAAATCAACCAAATGCTTTAAAGATCTGAAATGTATAATATAAGCGTCACTTCAAAGTCTTGAAAATTGATGTAAAGGAATTGAGTTTTAGCCACAAATTCAAACTTTCCAATCCCTATATCTTTGCAACCCGATGGTGTAAACCGTTGATATTTCAAACTACGACTATTTGATCAAACAGAGTTCATAGTTTGAAATATCTAAGATCTACGACATCGGGTCGCAAAGAGGTAGGATTTAGAAAATCAGAGTTTGTGGCAAAGACTCAATTCCTTTGCACTGCAGCCTGGATATATGTGTGGTATAAAAACAGAAAATTATAAACAAATAAAGGTTCTTTTCCCAATTATAGATTCAATAATTAGGCGTAAAATCTTAATAATTGGCTGACATTTTGCGTGTTGTTAATTGCGCGTAAGAGCTAATAAATCGTTTTGCTTCGCAGAAAGTTTAACTGTGGGAAGATTAAGAGAAAAAGATTAAATTTGCATAGTTTATATTTCTATTTCAGTGTAAAATCTGGTATGTCCAACAACTCTTTAAGAGAAAAAGATCAAATTTGCATAGTTTATATTTCTATTTCAGTGTAAAATCTGGTATGTCCAACAACTCTTTAAGAGAAAAAGATCAAATTTGCATAGTTTATATTTCTATTTCAGTGTAAAATCTGGTATGTCCAACAACTCTTTAAGTGTGGCAATGGCCAGCATTGTTGCTTTCAGGTCGAACTAATTTCAAACTTTTATCAATCTATCATTCATACTCACTCCATGGTGAATTTTATAATTGCTATTTAGTTATCATCGTGCTATAAAGTTAAATTATTTGTATAGTTTAGCACCGTGCTATAAAGGAATCATCGTGTTATAATGTAAAATTAGCTTTGTATTATAGCACCGTGATATAACTGTGAGATAGGATATTTCTAAAAGATTTTTTAGTTAACATGAAAATAAAAATTAAATTTTATTTTTTTGTTTCTGCTTTTTCAAAAATTTATCATATCTAAGAATAACCATTTCATCAAGACTAGTACACAAACACTTCATAAAATTACCTATAACAATATTATTTTGGCACGATGTGTTAAAAAGATTTTGGATTTAAATTTTCTCTTTAAAATGTCTGTTCAATAACTGTATGGCACTGCGAAATAAAACATTAGTCTTATAAATAGTTATTCTAATCATCAAAATATTATCAAAATGATTATTTTTAGTGTTATATTAGTGATGGATATTGTTATTCTTGCTTCTCTTACAATCAATATATTTTTCTACTCTAAGAAAGTATTTTACCAGGCGACCTTTCAAAGGATAAAGTAAGATCTTTTAAATTTTTAAATTTAATCTTTAAGAATCAAGTGAAATGAATTAAAGATTATTTGAATTTATGTACAGTTTACCCCAGAAATACGAAAAATTTACAAGTGTTCCAGCGTATTTATTGAGTTTTACAATACCTGAGATTTAGGCAGAATTTAGGCAAAAACCCACTGAAAAATTGTAAGACGACATCTCATTAATTCTTTCGATGTCCCCGAAGTTCTGGGTTATTCTGTATATTATAGCAAATCATGAAAATTGACATTTTCACTAATTTAATTTTTTTTATGATGTATCTGTGTTAATTTATATTGTTCAATTTAGGTTTACATTTAAAATAATGTACATTGTTTTCCCGTTGACAATGCTCTCATGGATTCTTTTTTTATCTGGTCAAGCTAGAATTGGACTGGCAGAAGGTATATTTTACCAGGGGGGGGGGGGGATAGAAACAGCTTCTAATTTTATATACATAAAAACAATAAGAATTTGGGAAAAAGGCACGATATCTAAAAAGATATTTGCATTGACTATAAGTATTTCTTTATTTGAATAAAAATAAAAAATTAGAACAACAAAAACATTTGTTGATTACTAGGTGAGACTTGCAGTTTTGCCCTTGCTCAATTTATTGCCTCTGTTTACCTGACCTACCTTATATTCTTCGACGACGGGATGCATTGGTTCCTCAGAAGTAAAAAGGGAAGAGATGACAACACTTTGCAGAATAAAAGTATTAAAGGTAAATAAATAAAAGGGACTGTTTTAGAAATTTAATAGAAATGATTAAGGATTAATTAGAAACGGAGAAAGGGTAGAAATAAATGTTTATAATGTTGTATGATTAATTTCAATTGTGGTTTCTTTACTGCTGTTTTAAAGGAGAGAATCTTATAATCCTCTTTCTTATATTTTCATCCACTACATCCCTATCATATATTTTCAGGAAGATACAACCCTCAGGACAAGATGATACAAGAACTAAAGATCCGAGTAGGAAAAGTAGGACGGAAACTGTCTCCTCCAAACCAAGATATTGATCCATCCAAAGCTAGTTCTCTAGAGAGAGGAGCTGACGGACGGATCATGTTTAATTTCAATGATAAACCAGGTTTGAATTATTTTTTTAAAATTAAATATTCTAAAACACTTGTTTTTGATACAGTGTTACCCCCATAGGATGAGATTGCACGCATTTATTTAGAAACTATATCTTTTATAATATGTTCGCTGAATCCGCAAATTCCTTTTACATATCGTTTTCTAACTGATCACTTGCTCAAAATTCTAATTTTCTTATTTTTGTACATTTGCAACCTGCTAATGTAAACCTTTAATTTTAATCAATACATATACAAATTTGTCTGGAAGATTTCATAGTTTAAATATCAGTTCCTTTTTGTTAAACCCAGCGTTGCCTAGGGTACACATAGTAACTCACGCCGTTTACCCGCACTTTGTCGAATTTTTCAGGGAAACTAAATGTTCGCTATAATCCACTCAACTTAGAATCTCAAAACAAAGCTAAGAACATTCCCTTGGCTCCCCCGAGTTCCCCAAGCTAAATTTGAGGTATATCGGTCTAAGGGGTTCCTGAGTTATGATCGGACAAACAAACAGGCAAACAGACAGAGATCAGATGTAGTGCACATACTTGAGCGAAAATAAGTCAATATATTTCTCATTCTTTATGTTTGTATAACCTGATTTTAAACTACAGATATCAAACCAAATTTACAAAAATAGTATATTTTACCCTGTCTATAATCGTTTTTTGAAACTTTACATTTACATCAAAAAAGTAAAGTTTTCAGTTCTTTTATTTGTTGACTAAAGAAACTGAATTTTTGCCACAAACTCATCTTTTGTAACCCCTATATTTTTGCGACCTGATGTCGTCAACCTTTGATATTTCAAACTATGATTATTTGATCTAACAGAACTGATTGTTTGAAATATGAATAGCCTACGACATTGGGTTACAAAGTTATAGGGATTAGAAAATCATAGTTTGTGGCAAATAAAATAATTTCCTTTCAAACTTCTTTTAGATATGTAATGTAGATTTGATCTGAAATATCTTAACAACCCCTGTTATCTGTAGATGGAGGAAGGTTGAGTGTCGGAAGAAGGAAGGAGAAAGAATCAAGAGAACCCAAGACAGATAGCTCCAGTAGGTATCTAGGACAGATATACCAAGAGTATATCAAGGAAATGGATCTAGAAAACGGAAGTCTAAAAGGTTAAGATTTGTTTTCCAAATTATTTATTGGTCTTTTTATCTTTTTTGATTTTAGATAGTTCTGCGTCGAGTGATGAAGATGAAATGGACAACAATCAGATTATAGGCAAAACCAGGGTTAGGGAACTGATTACTTATATCAAACTCTTCATTTATAATCCTACAGTTTATACCCTTTAAATAAAAACGATATACAGCTTTTGTAAGAATTAAGAATGGTGAAAACTATCTGCAAGTTAATCATTTGAAGTGGTAGCTTTTATTAAGTTAAAACGCGTGGATTTTTTACAACAAAGCTATATGTAGCAATTATATATGCATGGCTTCACTGATGAACATTTAAAGGAATGTTGTAATTCATCATTTCTTTGAATAATCACCTGAAAACTACGTTATTAATCCCTTTAAAGGAAGATGAATCTAAGACAGCTGGTATGGTGAAAGGACTGGAGAATACTATTGACCACCTGAGACGAAAAACATCCCAATCTTTCAACTACGATACAGTAGTCCTTGCTCATCGTTCTACTCGAGGTACGAAAGATGGTGTAACTTATAGAATAGCAAATGTGTTGCAATTTTTATTTACATTTGTGAGCATCATCACAGAAATAGATGTTATCCCATGGACCATGCATCTCTAGATCGTTTTTACACTTTATTTATTGAATTCTGAAAGGTTTCGTTGGTTTGCACTGCGATAATGAAGTCAAGAGCAATTTTACATTGGAGTACTTTTACGGTTTATGAAATTACAGATTCACAAATTAGTGTCTTTTTCCCCAAAACACCATGTTTCAAACCCTTATGACGGTATCTAATTACATTCAGCAAGTTAGAATTAGAATATCGAAACCCTGTTGAAAGCTTGGGACTTTTAGATAAAAGGACATTGAGTCTTTATTGAGTCTTCGCCACAAATTCAGTTTTTGTAAAACCTATATCTTTGCAACCTTATGATGTAAACCTTTGACATTTCTAACTTACATTATTTGATCTACCAGAATTCATAGTTTGAAATATTAAAGGTCTACGACATTGGGTTGCAATGATATTGAAATTAGAAAATCAGAGTTTGTGGCAAAAACTCAATTCCTTTGTTCTTTGAATCTTTCATTTATTTCTTCTCAGTTCCGACCTTTTGTGGAGACAAACGAGTGAAACTGTCTTATATAGAAGGATCTCTCAAAGCAGAAACTTTAAGAAGATTTAATCAAGAGGTTTATGAGAGCTCAGAGAAAGAGCTCATTTGAATCTGTTCCGCCAATTTAAAAGACACCGGCTTGAACTATTTCCAATTTTTCATCTGGAAATCATTAACAATTTTGTTTTAAACTGAAAAATTAGTTCTGATTAAACTTTGTTAAACCCGTAAGATAATTGCAAGCACAACGGGAATGTTTAAGCATTTTTATCATCTTACACTCATCTGTTCATTAAGAGTCGAGTCAACTTTCAGGAACACAGTTTGATCTATTTGATATTCAGATCATCAGCGAGCTGCGTTATCTGATGTGGAAGTTGGTCTTGATGCTGGTCTTGATGCTGATCTTGAAGTTGGACTTGATGTCGCTCAAATTGTTGAGGAAAAAGCTGAATCTTCAGATAGCGAAGAGAGTTATCAATCATCTGTTTCCAGTCAAGCTTCCAGGTGTCCCTTGATATAGTTAAATATTTAGAAAAACCTCAAGCTAAAGATTTTTTAGATACTCTATGAATAAAGCAATTGAGTCTTTGCCACAAACTCTAATTTTCTAATTCCCATATCTGTGCAACCCCATGTTGTCAACCTTAGATATTTCATATAACTTTTAATTCTGTTTTTATTTTAAGTTTTAAATATGAGGTTGCAAAGATATATGACGATTAAAAAATTAGATTTTGTGACAATAACTTAATTCCTTTGTTTAATATGTCTCAGAAAATAAGAAGGTTTGTGAGATACCAAGTGTTTTATTCAAGAAAAAATTCGGTTCTCACTCTCAGTGACTTGTTTTGTAAAATTGAACCTGCAGAATTTGTTTTTATAAAATACTCAATTCCACATTTTGTATAGTTCAAAGCAATAAAAAACGTAATTTCACAATTGCTGCACTAAACTATGTGTTTTTTATAAAAACTTTGATAAAATTGGAATTAGGGCACAGCAAATATAAAAACTGCTTTATTTCAGGTTTTTTAACCGACCTGGTTTGGATATGAATGCCTCTACAACAATATAATGCAAGGTATCTCTAAACTAACTTAAACTGACCGAGGTGAGATACAATGCAAGGTATCTCTAAACTAACTTAAACTGACCAAAGTGAGATGTAATGCAAGGTATCTCTAAACTAACTTAAACTGACCAAGGTGAGATATAATGCAAGGTATCTCTAAACTAACTTAAACTGACCGAGGTGAGATATAATGCAAGGTATCTCTAAACTAACTAAAACTGACCAAGGTGAGATATAATGCAAGGTATCTCTAAACTAACTTAAACTGACCAAGGTGAGATATAATGCAAGGTATCTCTAAACTAACTTAAACTGACCAAGGTGAGATACCTTGCATCTCCGGTTTCTCTGCAAAAGGGATGCTATTTAAGAAGCAATGCACCGAAATTTTTAGCCTTTGATAAGATTAAGGTTTCAAGGGTACTGTTGTAAATCGGGCATTGCCATCTTTGCATAGAGGGTCACTTGGAACTAGACTTTCAGTCTTTTAATGCAAATATCAGGGAGTGGAAGCCATTTTTTTGCGACAAATAAACATTACTAATTTTTTATTTTTATTTTTCGTCTTCTGATTTTTAATTAGTTTTCGAAGCTAATTAGCGTTGGTTTTCTATATTTTTCAAAATCAGAGTCCAAATTTAATGAATTTGATCCGCGTCTTAAATCGCCCAAAAACCGGTTTCAATTGAGCGCCGGCTTAAATCTTGAAACATTGAATACGATTTTAAGTGGAACCAACCATATTTGAGCCGCAACCCAAATTCTTTAAATTCGGCCTCAGGATAGATTTTCGAATTAGAATTTGCATATTTATTTCTTATTAAAATAACAAGAAATAGCTTCGCCATTTCTTCCTAGTTGAACTACTTCTCTATTGTGTTTAAACTAAGCGTACCTTGTTCAACTGCTTATCAAACATTTAACTATTTCCATGAGTTCTACTTCTAATCTAAATGTTTTAGAGCAAAGCTTCTCATCAGCTGTAGAAAAAGAGAAAACATCCTACGGGGACGAAAGACCGAAAAGTGTAATTGGTTTTTATCCAACAAAATCTAAATATACAAGTATGTCTATTATTTCTAATTATTACGTTCAATTTGATGGGAAAGCTTATTTTGTTTTTGTTTTGAGTGTAAACTTTTTTCTTGATTCTTGAAAAAAAACCTTGGATTTAAATTTAAATGCACAATGTGCATGGGCATACACAATTTTTTTTAATCATCTCATATTTCAAAATTTATTTTTCTTAAAAAGTGCAAAATTTTTATTGTTTACAAGGGTTTTTCTCTCATTTTTTAGAACACAATATTTTAGATAAATCCTCCTTCCCCTCCTCTTCCTACTCCTCCTCCTCGTCCTCCTCCTCCTCCTCTTCCTCCTCGTCCTCCTCTACTGAAGATGAGGCTCTGAGTAAGATTCCAGTAGAACCTTCCAGTAGGTTTTATTCTTCTATAAGTAGAGAAGGTAAAATCAAAGTAAAATCAAATCAATATCAGATTTTTTAATCATCAATTATTTTTAAAAAGATTTTATTTTTATAGCTTCAGAAGACTACTCAGAGAAGTACAGATATGGAGGAACATATGAAACCTCTTTCACGTACAAGTCCGCTGACCTCCAGAATTCAGGATTCAGCTCCAGTACGTTGATATCTCCCTCTGTACTGAATGTAGAGGGTGGAGAAGGATTGTATTCAAGAACCAGCTCCAGAACGTTGATATCTCCCTCTGTACTGAATGTAGAGGGTGGAGAAGGATTGTATTCAAGAACCAGCTCCAGAACGTTGATATCTCCATCTGTACTGAATGTAGAGGGTGGAGAAGGACTGTATTCAAGAACCAGCTCCAGTACATTGATATCTCCTGCTGTACTGAATGTAGAGGGTGGAGAAGGATTGTATTCAAGAACCAGCTCCAGAACGTTGATATCTCCATCTGTACTGAATGTAGAGGGTGGAGAAGGACTGTATTCAAGAACCAGCTCCAGTACATTGATATCTCCTGCTGTACTTAATGTAGAGGGTGGAGAAGGACTGTATTACCTAGACACCACAGAGAACCCGGCAGGGATATGGAAGAGAAGAAAGTCTAGTAAAGTCTGAACTTTGAAAGAAAATAATATAAAATAATAAATATGAAAAAAAAAGCTCTGTCTCATTGTACTTTACTTCTGCTATTATTCATTTCATTCATCAATGCAGTGGTAACCAAAAAACAGTGGAATGATTGTCCTTTTCTTACTTTATTATTTAAAAATGTATGTATGTATGTATTTTACGGTTCTGTAATTTGTAAATGATTCATGTATAATGATATGCTCTGAGCGGGAACTTTTGTGTCGGATACTCCCGATCTCAATTTACACTGTGGACACTTTTGATTTGAGGATCTATTAAAAAAAAAGATACTTTTCCATATCTTTATTTTTGCTATCCCTCCTGTGATCAAAGCTCCCTTCAACCCCTGACTGGGTGCGATTACACTGCAGGATATCGAATAAAGATTACATAAATCCGCAGATTAAGAAAAGATCGAGATCAAGCATTGATCTCGATATCTACAATTTTAGAATATTTTTAAATAAATACTTCAGTTGTAACAACTACTGATTTAAAATCCTTTGGCGAAATTTCATAATATAAATTAGAAACGACAACCAAAACCATAATAAAAAAGAGTTCTTCAACAAACAATTCAGAAAAATATTTTAATTGGTTTCCTAAGTTTATCTTATAAAAAAGTTATCCCAGCACTGTGAAAACTTAATTTATCATCTTACACTTTTCGGAAAGTCTTCTGGTTCTAATTGATGACCAATCCCTTTAAGGCAGAAAATCAGTAAGAAAATGATAGAAACGGTTGCAAAGTCCAATCTTCCGTTGATATGGTTAAGTGGGGAAATTGCTCGAGATAGGGCAATCTGAAAACTTGAAAGAAAAGTTTGAGAAAAGTTTTTCAGTGCAGACGATTTGTAGAATTTATATAGTTACCATTTTCATCAGAGAACACACAACCGCCATTTTGGAAAATAAAAGTTCAACCGCAAACCTTCTTCTTCTCAGATACAGTGAGAACTAGAAAACTCTGGAATAGAAGGACAACTTTTAGACTCAATTTTTGTCTTTAAATAGTCCAATAAACATGATACACAGAAATTGTGCAGTGTAAACAGACCCATTAAACTTAATAAATGATCAAATAAACTTTAGTATTGCTATAATGTCGTCTTACTATGACTGTAATAAAAATTTAGATTAATAATTATAAATAAAAACTAGAACAACAAACATAGTTTTTAATGTACTCTCATTTTATTATGTTCTTGCTGTGTAACCACGGCCCGCTTATAGATATGATTCTATCTATCTATCTACACTGAACTCGGCCACAGTACAAATTTTATTTTGGTAATTTTTTCCATGGGCCTACCAGCTGATATAAATTCAGAACATTTAGCTTCTTGGATATGAGGCAAAAGTCGAACAAGTATACTTTAAAGGTACACATACAGTCCAATCACCTTGTAGTTGCTTTCTTAAGTACTACTTTTTCTCTTCTTCAAACTAAACTCTGTGAAATTAAAAGGGAAAATTAGGTTACAGCACTGCGATAATATGTATTTTTTGGAAGATTTCATTATCAAGAAAAAGTTTAAAAGCTTTTTCTAGATTTAAAAAGAATATTTTTTTCAGATCATTCCTATGCAACCCAGGAGACCACACTTAATAGACTGTCTGCTGCAAACAACGATTTACAACAGCTTAACAACAAACTTCGAGTTAGGAACACCAGGTTAAAGCAGAAAGTAAAATCATTGGAGGATGCCCTGGAGAATGTAAAATCTCAGAGAACCAAGGTCCGAGTTCAGCTGTCCAAGTTGATCTTGTTCAAAAATCAGTAGGAAGGAAGAATCCCTCATTATTGTTATCAAAATTATACAAACAATATTTTTTGAAATAAAAAATTTGGCCTTCTTACTCTTAGTCAAAAATATATTTATTGTTTTGTTTCCTCAGTATTATTCATGTTAAAGCCTTTAAAAAGGTCGGGGGGCAACGATAATTAAGCTATCTTTGAAATAAAGTTTAAACATTGAAAACTACACAAAGGAATTAAACAAACCGCCCCCCCCCCCCCTTCTAAAATTCAGTGGAATATAACTGATTGGCTAAATAAGAAAGGAATTATGCAAGAGCTGGTCCAGGGTCCATTGTCTGCTAGAACTCCAATGTACTGCATAACACCCCACCCAGAAAATTACATCGAAACTCGTTTATGATCCATCCATTTTATTATATATCCGTGTGTGTAACTATGTTTATAGCTGTCGGTTCTTAGCAGTTTTTAAGGCACACTTGTATGTAGATTCCATTAGCGCCTGATCCATTCAGTCATGTGTTTGTTGTTTATTATGAACCAATAGAAATGGTTTGGCGGTAACATCTATCGTTCTATCTATCTCATTATCCAATAAGAGATATGAATCCTTTAATCGGAGCTAACAGTAAATTGAAATATTTACTGCTTCTGAAACTAAAGTGAAGGTGCCGTGGTAAACTTTCAAAAAGGAAATTTACAAAAAAAATTATTTCCAATAAAAATGCGAAAAGAAGGAAATGTATGGATGAAAGGTGGAACTTTAATTCAACTTTTTCTAACATTCTTCTGGTTTATGAAAACTAATTGATGCGATAGATCGTGTTAAATCGTTTATGCCACTGTAAAAATAAAAGGCTCACTTTAAAGTTAACATATAACAGTTTATTCTGTTTGTTATAAAAATGTGTTGGTTTAAAAAACTAACTTTTAATTATGTAACTTCGCTCAGTCCTATAATAGACCAAGAAGGTTTGGGTATAAGGAGATGTAAGGCGGGGGTAGGGGATTTTGTTAGGCATATATTTCTATATTATCTTTATGTAAAGTAGTAATCTCTGTTTGTTTGTTTGTATGTCTCATATGTACCATAACTAAGGAACCCCCTGACCGATTTGAATCAAATTTTAATTGGGGAATTCCGAAGAACCATGAGAATGTGCTTAGCTGGGTTCACAGTTCAGTTTCCAGTTAAAGCTCAGTTCTCAAACTAGTAAGAGTGTATAAAAAGAAAATGAGTATATGAATGGGTATAGGGATGCTGTGTATAAAGGAGTATAGTTGAAGATGAGGGGAGGGGTAGGGGAATCTACAAAACCATTGGAATGTTCCGGGACATTTACTCTAAGTTTTAAACTCAGTAGTAGATGAAGTTCTTTAACTAGAAATATATAATCTCAAATCTAGAAATTTGTTCTCAAATCTAGAAAGTTGTTCTCAAATCTAGAAATATATTCTCAAATCTAGAAATTTGTTCTAAAATCTAGAAATTTGTTCTTAAAATCTAAAAAAAAATATATTCTCAAATCTAGAAATGTTTATTCTCAAATCTAGAATTTGTTCTCAAATCTAGAAATTTGTTCTCAAATCTAGAAATTTGTTCTCAAATCTAAAAATATGTTCTCAACTCTAGGAATGTATTCTCAAATCTAGAAATATAATCTAAAATCTAGAAATATATTCTAAAATCTAGAAATATTTTCTCAAATCTAGAAATTTTTCTCAAATCTGGAAATATAATCTCAAATAGAAATATATTCTCAAATATAGAATTTTGTTCTCAAATCTAAATATTTGTTCTCAAATCTAGAAATGTATTCTCAAATCTAGAAATATATTCTCAAATCTAGAAATATGTTCCCAAATCCAGAAATATATTCTTAAATCTAGAAATATATTTTCAAATCTCGAAATATATTTGCAAATCTCGAAATATATATTCTCAAACCTAAAAATATATATTCTCAAATCTAGAAATATTTATTCCCAAATCTAGAAATATATTCTCAAATCTAGATCAATATTTTTAAATCTAGAAATATATTCGCAAATCTAGAAATATATATTCTCAAATCTAGAAATATATTCTTAAATCTAGAAATATATTCTTCACTCTAGAAATATATATCCTCAAATCTAGAAATATTTTCTTAAATTTAGAAATATATTCTTAAATCTAGAAATATATTCATAAATCTAGAAATATACCCTCAAATCTAGAAATATATTCTCAAATCTAGAAATATATTTTCAAATCTCGAAATATATATTCTCAAACCTAGAAATATATATTCTCAAATCTAGAAATATTTATTACCAAATCTAGAAATATATTCTCAAATCTAGATCAATATTTTTAAATCTAGAAATATATTCTCAAATCTAGAAATAAATATTCTCAAATCTAGAAATATGTTCTTTAATCTAGAAATATATTCTTCACTCTAGAAATATATATCCTCAAATCTAGAAATATTTTCTTAAATTTAGAAATATATTCTTAAATCGAGAAATATATATTCTAAAATCTAAAAATTTGTTCTAAGATTTAGCTATATTCTCAAATCTAGAAATATATTCTCAAATCTAGAAATACATTCTTAAATCTAGAAATATATTCTTACATATAGAAATATATTCTAAAATCTAGAAATGTATTCTTAAATCTAGAAATATAGTTTAAATCTAAAATTCATATTCTCAAATCTAGAAATTTATTTTCTTAAATCTAGAAATATCTTTTCAAATCTAGAAATTCATTCTCAAATCTATATATATATATATATTCTCAAATCTAGAAATATTTTCACAAAACTAGAAATATGTTCTCAAATCTAAAAATTTGTTCCCAAATCTAGAAATATTTTCTTAAATCTAGAAATATTTTCAAATCTGGAAATATATTCTCAAATCTAGAAATATATTCTCAAATCTTGAAATATATTCTTAAATATAGAAATATATTCTCAAATCTAGAAATATTTTCTTAAATCTAGAAATATATTCTCAAATCTAGAAATATATTATCAAATCTGGAAATATATTCTCAAATCTAGAAATATATTCTCAAATCTAGAAATATATTCTCAAATCTAGAAATATATTTTAAATCTATAAATATGTTTTTAAATCAAGAAATATATTCTCAAATTCTAATTTATTCTCAAATCTAGAAATGTGTTTTGAAATCTACAATATGTTTCCAAATCTAGAAATATAATTCAAGAAACACATAGAAATATGTTCTCAAATCTAGAAATATATCGTCAAATCT